CGGCCCCCGAGCCGCGCGACGCCTGGTACCTGTCGACGCTGGCTGTGGATCCGGCCGTCCAGGGCCAGGGCGCCGGCAGCTGGCTTGTGCGGGATGCGCTGAGCCGCGTTGTCGACCCGGAGGGGGCGGCTTGTTGGCTCATCGGGCTCGAGGGCGTCGAGCCCTTTTACGACCGCTTTGGCTTCCGCGAGGTGGACAGGGCCAACGAGGGCCGACTCGCCGACTGGACGGGCGGCGCCGTCATGATTAGGGAATCGTCGTAGCAGCACGAGCAGGCACCACGGTCACGCGGCAGAGCACAGGGCAGGGCAAGTGGAAAAGCATATTGTAGATAAAACCCTCTTCTCTGTCTCGGCGATGAGAGAGTGAGAGTGAGGTTGGGGCTGGCGAAGCCTTTTGTGCTAGAATGACCGACATACATAGAAAAGGGCGACCGAGGCTGCAACGAGTAAAATGATCGCACTGCGCAACCAGAGAAACAAGATGAATGAGTCCCTCGGTGTGCAAGACCAGGCTTTCCTTGCGTCACCTCGGTCAACTTCGTTCCTCTGTATCTCCTCCGCTCGCCTGGTCACCCGTGATCCTACCCAACGCCCCCCCCGATCCATGTTCGGCCCGCCGTTCACCTTGGGTCCAACGCCGGTTGCCTGAACGGAACCCGCAAACGCAAATTATGAAAAGAAACGAGAAACAAAAAGATTGAAGGGCTTGAGTCCTGTGTGACCCTGATTCGCCGGCCCTTTCGCTTGTGCCATGCCTGTCATCGTTCGTCGTCATGAGGAGCCACTCCACTCCGTACCGTGTTCCACGCAAGTTGCCAGCGAGTAGAAAATAATGAGCCCTGGAGCTGGCGTGCAGCTCATGCTGAAGTCGCCTCTATTTAATCACGCCGATACCAGGGCGTGCTCATTCTCATGTCCCATGTTGCACCCCAACGCTTCCTTCCCCTATACGCACACCGCGAACTGACGCCAGTGAACGTCGTCGTGGACGAGGAGGCTACTGACGAACACCGTAAGCATCTCTTGTCGACTCGTCCTCCATGACTGGACGCCGATGGACTACGGGCGCGCCGTAGGAGACCCTTGACTGGTCCAGGTGCTGCTGCTCGTAGGGCTGCTCGAAGCGCGCAGGCATGTTTGGCAGAGCTGCATACGCGTGGCTCGGGGCACCACGATGCTGCTGCATGCCACGCACAACGTTGGGACTGCTCTGGTGACGGCCATGCTTAGTGGCGGGCGGCGCTGCCATGCGTGCGGTGGCGTTCATGCCCGAATGGTAGGGCGAGGTGTCATAGCCATACTGGCGATGAACGGTGGCGTCCTGGTAGTAATTGCCCGCCGGCGGCTGACCCATCCCTTGGCTGACAGGCTGTCCGGCGATGAACATGTCGTCTTCCTCACGGCGAGAAAAGCCCGGGTTGTACGAGGCGTCATAGTCAGGACCGGGACCGTAGCCGTAACCTGGAGCTGGGTACTCCGAGGAAGAAGCGGGACGATAGGCATTGGACGACCCGGTGTAGAACGCACCAACTTCGCTGTGAGAGCGCTGGTGAATAGGGCGGCGCGGATCTTGATAGCCGGCCATCGAGCTGTTGGCTTCGAGGTGTGAAGCCATCGACTGGCTGGGCCGCCGTTGAGGGGTGGGCGCGGGAAGAGGACCACCAGCGGCCCCCCCTGACGTGGTAACAACCTGGCCGCCAGCGCCATACATGTACGGAGAGCCAAAGGCCTGCTGCCCTGCTGGGTAATATTCCTCCTCGGGATAGTTTTCACGAATGTTGCCAAAGGCCGGTCGATGAGCGACCTGCATGCGACGCACGTTGGGCACGGTGCGTTCAGCAGCGCGAGGAACACCCACCATATTGTGACGTTCGGCAAAGTATCCGGCATCCATCTGCGCAAGTCGCTGCCGTTTCTCGACGGGGTTCTCGAACATGTCCGCCTCCCAATGACCGAGTGGCTGGCTGATGCGCCGGGCCATGGCGGGAGGAGGATGAATATCGTGACGAAGGGCCACACCCATGGATTGGGATCGTTTGTGTCCAGTACCGCCGCTTGTCTTGCGCTTGAGTTGAGCCTTGGGCTTGTCCTCGTTGCCATCGCTGCTGATGGCAGGCAGGATCTCGATATCCGGGATCTGACTCAAGTGGTTGCCATGAATCTCCGACTTGAGCTGTTGGACAACACTCATGATGGTCTCAGTACTGTAGTTGTTGCCACAACGGTCGAGCAGCCACTGGGGTACGGCGGTGCCGTTCATCACGGCGCCATCGGCAGCCTCGTCTTCAGACTCGTCCTGATACGATCGCTTCCTCGACTCCTGCTTGTCGTCAAGACGCTTCTGCTCTCGCTTGCGAATGGCGAGAGACCAGCTGGTAACCACCCCGGAGGTACCGGCTCGCTTGTTGGCGTCACTCCACTCTTGAACGCGCTCGATCTGCTGCTCGACCAGATCGATCTGGAGCTTGGCGTACTCATGACCGTTGCGATAACGGCTCCGCTGATAATGCTTTCGGCAATAGTGAACCCAGACGTGAGGAGGAATCATGCGCGTGCAGAGCTTGTTTCGTCCAAAGATGTGAGAAATGGCCTTGCGAGGCTGCGAGCCCGTGTCACAATTTTCGATGTACATGCACTTGATCTCTGGAATCACGGCTGGGTTGCCTGCGGCGGCTTGTGTCTGAGAAGGCATTGTGTAGACTTGTTGCTGTTGCACGAAGGCCGGAGCTTCAGAGACAGGTGGGAAAGGTTGAAACCCAGACGGTGCTGAAAGGGCGGCAAAGTCAGGGGCTGAGACGGTGCGCTTGTGTGATCGGGTATGTAGCTGATCTTGAGGAGGGTTCAGGAACCCGGTTGTGTCTTGTTTGGTGATGTGTTGTGGGCTGGGGTGAAAGGTTTGTTAGTGAAATGTGTTAACGAAGCAGTCTAAGTAGCATTGCTCGCAACGTTCTAAACCAGATGCTCTCTATCTATGAATTGGAGCCTGAACGCTGAATCACGAAGTGGGGTCCTGAAAGGGGGCAGGTTCGAGGCGTGGGACGTGATGAATGGGAGACAATAGATCATGTGGTTTCCGTCTTGTGCAGGACGTCAACCGTGATTGCACCTCCGACCCCTGGTGGCGGATTCGGCTGAGATACTGGAGGAAGCGATGCGGTTCTGCTTGGTGTTGCCGAGGCAGGAGCGCTGGTATCCGCGGGCAACGTTATGTTTCTGATGGCGGCCTTGATATCTGATCAAAATGTCGCTGATATCGTCGGTTGAGTCAAGTCAAAAGAAGTAGACCGCACCTGTGGTCGCGGGTGCTATCTTGAACGTTTTCGTTTGGGATTCTCAACTTGTGAGAGAAGAGGTCGGCGGGTGAACGGCAGACCGGGTGAATGCGGTTGACGTGTGCGAACGTCAAGAGTGCCTTCCGTGTTGGGGTTCCTCCCTTTTAGGGCTTCCCAGTTACATGTTGGCAAGATAGGAAATCGTCATGGTAACGGTAACCGCAACGGCAACGGCTGGCGTGAACCTGACCTTCTTCTGACCTTGTCGACTTCGACTCAAAGCATACAGCAAGGCCTGTGGACAACAAAGACGAAAAGGAAAAGAAAAATTGACACACACCTAAAGTCTTCGGTCGGGCTTGACCGGCTGCTTCCTGTTCCTCGAGTGATCAGAATAGCGTCCGATGGGCTGGATGGCCTTCTGGGGTCTTTGTCCCCCGCCTCTTCCAGTGCCGAAGGCGACGTTGCGGTTCTCGGAGACTGGGATCGGAGCTCCAGCGATGGGGGCACAGAGTCCATTTGCTGGGCTTCGCCCAGCTTGGTCTCGAACGAAGGCATATCGTTCAGCAACGAGTTGAAGGGCTGCACGCCGCCGCTGACAGTTGACATGGATGAGATCCTGGAGTGGCACCCAGAATGCATCGTTGAAGACGTGTACGAAGAGAGGCTGCTGTGACTGTCCGAAAACTTATGTCTCGGCGAGTTGGGCAGTCCCATTCCGCCCGGCATGCTGTCGTCGCGCGAGAATCTGGGTCTTGGACAATAGTCAGTCACACGGTCTATGTTATCACGACTGGTTTTGGGGCGAACGGGAGACTAACCTCGCTGTAAGTTGAGATCCGGCTTCACTCACGCTGGGTTGCCTACATATACGGCAGCAGTGTCAGTGAACGGTCAAACATCCCGAATCATGCCATCTTGGCGAAGGCTACTTGTCCCAAGCTGGGGCAAGGAGGAAGAGGAAATAGCGTACCGCCCAGGGTGCGTGCTCGTCATTGGAGTCACGTTGACCGAATGTGCCATGTCGAACCCGAGAGAGCTCAAGGAGCTGGCCCTTGAATGATGATTGACCGAGGCGGTGTCGTACAAGTTTTGAGGCGCAGACTGGTCAGTGGGAGAGACGCTGTAAATGCTGGGCTTTCTGGAGAGAACAGAAACTTTCTTGGTGTCGAGTGTCAGTGGTAGAGAGTAGCCGCCCGCATCCCATGGCGTGCGCAGACGAGACAAGTGGTTGTCGCTGGTCCGCCTGGAAGAGGTGGTCTTCCCAGGGGAGGGCGTTTGCACGGCAGTGGGCGCCGCTGACGATCCGTCGGTTGTAGAGATAGTGGAAGTAGATTCCAAAGAAAGCGTACGGGTGATGGGGTGTCTTGCTGCAGCCAGGTTGAGGAGAGACGTAACGTCCATCGCTCAGCTTGAGAAAACGGTTGGTGATGAGCAGCAATGATGGGCCGTATGTGGTCCGGTGTGTGGCGGCAAGGCTCCTATCCGCCGTGACAGGTGCGCCAACTCTTGCTTGAGAAGAGTTCAGGGGATCATTGATGGAGAGAGTGTCTTGGTGTGAATGCAGCAGCGAGTCGCGATGCGTTCTGGCTGATGGCGTTGTGGTTATGGGTTGTGTCTTTGGGAGGCGGTTCCGTGCTATCAATGTGCTGTCTTGGGGCTCTGGGGTGTGTGACGAGTGTGTAGATAACTGGGGGAAAGGATGCAGGTGGCAGAGGAGGGTAGTTGACCAGAGGAACAAAAACCGGAGACTAGAAGGAACGCAGAGAAAGTGATGATAAGGTTATTAGTCCAATCGTTGGGACCAGTCGTTTGGAGATCGAGGTCGCACTGACAGCCCGCAATACGGATTGAAACGGCCGAAACACCAGTGAGCCGGCCAAAGTTGGCGCTGAAGAGTCGTCTGAAGCTACGAGCGTGGTCTGGCTCTGACGCCCGTGTGTTGTTTGCAATGATCGGATCCGCAAAGCACCGAGAGAAACAACAGAACCGAGTAGTAGCTCGTTCCGTGGGTCGAGCTCAAGCTCAGCTGAGGGTATGGTCGAACGTGAGCGGGCTGCCACGGGCGAATGCTGAGAGTTAGGGCTGGTTTTGCTGTTTCGTTCGACGGTCGTTGCGCGCGGCCTGTATGTGCGCTCGAGTCAAGAGCTTTCAGAGGGATGAAGAAGTGACCACAGCGGGATGGTTCCAGCGTCTGGTGATAGGTGCGTCATGTACTTGTACGAGGAACGTTTGCAGGTGCAGACCGAGGGCTTTGAGGCTTCAAGAGGGCAAGAGCGGCGAGCAACGGCAACAAAGGGCAAGCTTCAAGAGGTACATGAGAACTGGGAAACAAAGATAGGATGATCGGCCAAGGACAGGCAACGTCGGGGATACAGAGACAGCAGCTCAGAGAGAAGAGTAAGGCTGTGCTGCAATCGCATGAAGTGATGGTAAGAACTGAAGACGATACTTGTTTGGAGTTTGGAAGGGTGGGCGTCTGGGCTTTGAGGGTACCAGGATCTGGGAAGAAGGCCTTGTCATGGCTCGGTCCCAAGCTTCATGGTCCGTCCATCCACCAGAATTAGCCCCAAGTTCGAGCAAAGGCAGAGTCAGAGCCACAGCGACAACAACCACCAGTACCTGCTGCGGTCGCAGGTACTGGATCGGAGCAAGGCGGGTGGCGGGAGGGGAGGGGGTGGAGAGGCTCCCAACGGGAGCCAGCATGATCACTGTGCAAGCCACATCTTTTAGCCCAGTATCTGATCAGAGTTTCCACTTGTGGCATCGCGAGGGATGCTGGGTATCATGCGTTGTAGGCAGGGGTTGTGAATGTTTGGTCTTCCCCACAGTCGGCTTGGGCGCCGGCTGGGCCCAGAGGAAGAAAAAACAAGCCCCCGGATGCGCGCTCTTGTGCTGTGAGAGGGGGGCTCGCGCTGGCTTGAAGCAAGGACAGGGGCCATCGCAAGACCTGAGAAGGTGTGACAGAAGGGGAGACGTCTTGCGATGATGGTGGGGGTTGAGAAGGGGGTGGATGGGGACAAGAAAGGAGGTGGAAGGAGGTCAGTACAAACCCTAGGTACGGAGCGCAAGGTATCTGAGCGCTTGCTGATTGCCGGTCGCCTAAGAAGCATCCCTGTGCATCAGGTTGGGACCGTCGCAGATCATGGCGTTAGATGGTCGTCTGAACCCACGATCTCCGCAGGGGAAATGCCCCGGGCAGGGCTTAGGTTTCCAAGTGCTGCAGCCTTCAAGCAGGGCCAATCATAACAACAGCAGCCCGCTGCGCATCTGGTCAGGGGGGGGGGCATACCATGTACAGGTTGGAGCCCCTTGCCTTTCTCTCTTGTCTTGCCTCGAGGTGGCATGTCTTGAGCTATACTAGTTACTGTGCCTGCCACCGCCGCATCGCGTGCTCTCATGGATCTAAGTTGCCTCTGGTAGCTTGCGAGCTAAGCAGACGTACTTGGTAGTGTCGTGGTCTCGACCTGTAACTCGAAATGAGCTGAGGGTCGCTCAACAGCTTTGCCAGTTGGTGTGGTGCCTGTTTTTCGTGGTGCACGGATGTACACTCCAAAAGCAGTCAAGACAGAATGGGGCGCGACAGCGCTGAATCGGGATCAGACCGCAGCTAGGCGTCGCTGAACTATCAAGGGGTGATGAGCAGCGCCTCTCGCTCACAAAAGTGCGAACACTGCGCAGGTAGCCCGCCGGTCGGGTGGTTCCGAAGCATATGCCGGACAGTTCGTTCTCAACGGCAGATCGTCTGGGTGCGTCAAGGCCTGGCTTACGACCGTGATTAATGCAGTAAAGATAACTCGACCGATCATGGCCCCGTACAGCAACCATGGACGAAGGCGAGTGCCAAGGCCGGGTGGGCACCAGCGATGCTGGAA